TTTAAAAAAAAAAAAAAAAAAAAAAAAAAAAAAAGGCAAACCTTATTGGCTCTAACCTCAACATTTGTTAAAAATTTAATCACTTCTCACCCCCTCCCTGCTACCACTCTGGTCCACACCACCATATAGGCTCGATCACCACAATGGCCTCTAACTGGTCTCTTGCTTCCACCCTGTCCCCAACAATGGTTTGTAAAACACTAAAAGATAACATTACTCTGATGCTCAGAACCCTCTGATAGCTTCCCCAAGTGACTACAACTGTGATCTTCATACCATTTCTCTTGCTGTACCTTCTAAAATAATTTTGACAAACTATATGCCTACTCACATTTTAAAAGTGACATCTACAATTTTCATCATAGGTTCGAATACTTGTAAAAGATGTAATTTCTGGTATTTGTACATATTGACAACTGGAAATAAAGCTATTACATCATTCTTTCAATGGACCATGGCAGTTAGATATCCTCCATCATCCATTTAAAAATATATGAAAATCTCTTATGAACATAAACACAAAAATCCTCAAAAAATATTAGCAAATCAAATTCAGCAACATATAAAAAAGATCCTACTCCATTATAAAGTATGATTTTTTTCCAGGAATGCAAAGTAGGTTTAGGATTAGAAAATGAGTCAATTTAATATATCAATAAAGGACAAAAACCACATGATTTGATGAGGATATCAAGAAATTGGAGCACTCACACGTTGCTAGTAGGTATTTAGAATGGTGCAGTCACTTTGAAAAATAGTTTGGCAGTTCCTCAAAAAGGTAAACATACAGTTAGTATATAAACCAGCAATTCCATTCCTAGGTATATACCCAAGATTATTGAAAACATATGTTCATGCAAAAACTTGTACATGAATGTGCATAGCAGCATTATTCATAATAGCTGAAGAGTGGAAACAACGCAAATGTGTCCATCAACAAATGAATGGATAAACAAAATGTGGTGCAACTGTGCAATGAAATATTATTCATTAATAGAAAGGAATGAATTACTGATAAATGTTACAAAGTGAATGAACCTTGGAAACATGTTAAGTGAAAGTATTCAAACAGAAAAGATAACATATTGCATGTTTTTCTGTTTATATGAAATATCTAGAATAGGTAAATCCATAGAGAAAAAAAGTAGAATAGTGGTTGCGAGAGGTTTGGGGAAAGAGAAAAAGGGGGAAAGATTGGTCATGGGTATAGGGTTTATTTTGCAGGTGATAAAAATGTTGTGGGATTAGGAATGATGGTTGCACAGCTTTGTGGATATATATAAAACCACTGCATTGTACACTTTAAAAGGGTTAATTTTATGGCATGTAAATTATATCTTAATTAAAAAATGTGGAGGGAAATCCTACATAATTATCTCAATAAATTGCAGAAAAAGCATTTGACAAAACCCAACACTCTTTCATAATAAAAACACTCAACAGTCTAGGCATAAAAGGGAACTTCCTCCATGTAATAAAGGGCATCTACAAAACCCACAGCTAACATCACACTTAATGGTGTGCTTTCCCCTAAGATTAGGAACAAGACAAGGACTTCCACTCTTACCACTTTTATTCAACATTATACTGGAAGTTCTTACCAGGGTAATTAGGCAAGAAAAAGAGATCAAAGGAATCCAGATTGTAAAGGAAAATGTAAAACTCTCTGTTTGTAGGTGACATGATCTTTTATATAAAATCCTAAAGAATCCACTAATAAATTTTAGAGCTAACAAATGAGTTAAGCAAGATTGCATGATACAAGATCAGTATACAAAAATCAATTGTATTTCTCTACACTAGCAATGAATTTCCAAAAATGAAATTAACAAAGCAATTTCACTTACAATAGCATCAAAAAGAATGAAACATTTAAAAATAAG